GCGTTTGCGTCGAGAAAGTGCGTGTGCGTGCCGCCTGTGCGTGTTCGTGATGCTACATAATGTTCACAGTATGTACAGTCTACTAAATCCGCGAGTACATCCCATTCAAGAGAAATGAGACGGGTTTCTTGAGTTTATCAGTAGGTGCAGGTAGGCAGGCTGATATGGAGGAATCTTCAAACTTTATTTCTAGATTTGCCTTCTACTTTCGTTGTGAGTAGCCAGAGAGAACCAGAGAATGTCCGTATTTTGTGTACGTAATGGTTTCGTGTCGATATATATTGTAGCACGCTAATTAATCACTGCCGCGAATGCATTTAATACCAGCTCGCACACAAGGCTGAGGTTAGGTTTAACCGGCCAGCAGAGCATCAACACAAACATAATCTTACACCACACCAGCTGGCAAGGGGACGGATTTATCTGCCGGACATACAAACAACTGGTAAAATTAGTGCACACACGCAATAGATACACACGTAGATAGGCGCAGCTCTATTGCGCATCACTGCCTAGAGTACGGATCAACTTTCTAACGAATAACAGCTTAGACACACACCTTAGCCGCGTCACAAACATTAGTTTGGGTTAGGTCGGCAAAAGAACACACACACACCATTAGCAAACGTTGGTTTTACAACAGCATACTAAACAGCTGTTCTACACTGACGCACACATTAGCGTCATCGCTGTCAATAGTGCGGGTTAGCTGGCCACACATAATATCTTAGATACACACAATAAGGGGGCCGCGACACTGCCGGAGTACGGTCAGATGTGGCCGCTAAAATCCACACATTACGCCTAAAGTTATTTCTACACAGCTGTTAGATATTTAATTACGGTAAACGATCAACAGCCATACGTCATAGTCATACGTCATACCACCTACGAAGCACCACGTGCCTGAGGAGGAGGGCGTAAACCATCTCCACTCAATACTCACATTGCGTCATCTACGCCTATCCCAACTCCAACAAACTGGACCACAGACAATAATTCTACCCCTCTACTATCCCTGTAGTCAGCAGATGATAGGAAGAACATATTGGGGGAGTTCACGGCCTCGCGTTGACGAAGGGGAGTATAAAGAAAGCTCGCCTCGGAAAACGGGGCTCTCGTGTACCTCCACCCTCTGTTGTGTTAGGTGATTATATGTGTATCGTGAAACCCGTATTCAACCCTTTACTTGTGTGAATTTACTGAAACCTCTAGTCTCCCTGTGGATTGTACTGATTTTGTAATATTCAATAGTGAAACGCGCAGTTTGTAATCCACATCAGTCTACTCTCATTTTATTATCCATTCGTAAGTTTAGTCAAGCAATTACAACGGCGCATACATAGCACGCGAAGCTATAGCGCACAGTCGTCTGGCAGCAGAATTACCCAGCGACTACAATATATATATATATATATATGTAGCGTGTAGGTAGACGCTACCCAGAAGGGGTGAGTGGAAAGGCAGGTAGGAGAGAAGCCAAGGACCAACAGATAACTTGAAGACCGAATGTGAGGGACTAGACAGATCTTTATTCACTCGAACCGGGACAGAACTAGCTCGCACCCATACGCCGGTGCGACCAGGGGAAGAGTCTCTCGATTCCCCCCAACGCCCTATCTCCTATCTCCTTCTTCCAAAAATGTTTGGGTCTACTTACAGACAGTCCGATTCACATAGATCGTACATATAACAGGCATTCTCAGACCTTTGTAAACAACAATTACATATAATTAGAGGGAAAAATCATACAAGTTCACAAAATGTACAAAAATATAAATATTCGTGAATCCACCCACACATGTTTCTGGACATCATTGGATACATTCACGCTCGCGCGCATCAGTGTCTGTCCGTATGTGTCCCTCTCTCTCTCTCTGCGTGCGTGCGTGCGTCTGTCTGTCTGTCTGTCTGTCTCTCTCTGTGCGCGCGCGCGTGTGTGTGTGTCTGTCTGTCCTTTTGTGTATCTGTGTGTGTGTGTCTCTCTCTCTCTCTCTCTCTCTCTGGCTCTCTCTCTATCTCTCGCTTTCTCGCTTTCTCTCTCTCTCGTCCTATCTCCTCTCTCTCTCTCTCTTCTCTCTCATCGGTGAGTGATTCACGTAGGTAAACTAGGTGATTCACGCAGGTAAACTGTGAGTGATTCACGTAGGTAAACTAGGTGATTCACGCAGGTAAACTGTGAGTGATTCACGTAGGTAAACTGTGAGTGATTCACGCAGGTAAACTAGGTGATTCACGCAGGTAAGTGTAGGTGGTTCACAGTTCAGCGAGGTACAGTGCTCTCCGTGTTCTGCTGTCGCGCCATGTTCTAACGCAGTGTTGATACCGTGTGTTCACAGGTTGGAGTTCACGCTGCGCAATGAGAAGAAGGAGAAGAAGGAGAAGGCAGCGTACGAGGCATTTGTGAAACAACGCGCGCAGGAGAGTGGGGTCACGCTGGATGAGCAGCACGCTCCATAGTGGAGCGAGGAAAAGTTAGGATAGTTGTTGTAGGGCTCGCTCATTCTCTCTCTCTAGCTGTTTTTTGTACACTTACATCCCCCTTTACACAACACACACGCACAGGTGAATAAAAGTGCATATGTACATACACACGTGCGAATATGCACACACGAGCGAATACACACACACATGCACACACGAGCGACTACACACACACATATGCACACACGAGCGAATACACACATATATGCACACACGAGCGACTACACACACACATATGCACACACGAGCGAATACACACATATATGCACACACGAGCGACTACACACACACATATGCAC